TTCGGGGACTGCTGTCCCAACGCCCCAGCTCGCTGCAGGGAGACGTCAGAGCGCTCGGGGCCGCGGGAGAAGAGCCCCCCGCCTCCCCCCCCCCGCCCGGGCTGCCGTATAAAGTCGGGGCCCCGTGGAGGCGGCGGCGGCGGCGGCGCTCTCCGAGTCCGGGTCCTCGCGCCACCGCTCCGTGGGGACAGCGCACCCCGCCGGCCTCACCGCGCGCTCCAAGGGCTTCCCGCCGGCACCATGCGCGGCCGCGAGCTCCCTCTCGTCCTGCTGGCGCTGGTCCTCTGGCAGGCGCCCCGGGGGCCGGCCGCCCCGGTGTCGGCGGGCTCAGGGACCGTGCTGGACAAGATGTACCCGCGCGGCAACCACTGGGCGGTGGGTGAGTGTCCCGCGCGCTCCAGTCCTCGGCGGGACCCCAGCCGTCTGCCGCGACCTTTCCACTCCGCTCGCCCCGGGCTCCACGCCACACCCCTCCCCACCCCCCTTGCCCGTCCTGGGAAGCCGTCGGTCCCCGAGCAGCCTCAGGCTGCGCCGGTGGTCCTTTCCCGCTCCCCTCCCTCTTCCCGCGGGCGCCCGGGCCGGCTCTCCCGACAAGCCAACCTGCCCCCTCACCTACCCCACACCTCCTTTTATCTGCCTGATGGTAGCCTTGTCTCGCACGGTTCTGTCCTTGAACGACGTGGGGAGCCGGGTCCCCGAGCGCGTCCCGGAGCGCCGGGATTCCGACCGCCGGGAGCCGGACGCGGGCTGCGCCCCGGGCGCCGCGCAAAGCCACAGGTGTGGGAGCCCGTCCTGGGGTCCCCGGCTGCTCAGCGAGCGCGCCCGGAATGCCGCCCCTTGTCTGCGGCTCTCCTGAGCTCCCTCGGCCCTTCCACCGCTGCGGCGATTTCCTCTCCCCCGCCTTCCCTCTCCCCGGCCCTCCCGCCTTCCCTCTCGCAGGCTCCGGGCGCCCGCTCCCCACGCCGATCCCGGCCTCCCCGTCCCCGAGCCGCCGCCGTCCTCCGGCTCTCTAGATCTGCGGCCTCCCCTAGCTCCTTCCCCCTTCCCTCTGTCCACACGTCCTGGCCTCCATGCCCGGGCTGGGAGGCGCGCCGGCCGGGCCCCGGAACCCCAGCGGCGGTGGGGAGGGCGCCCTCCGGGGGGGCGGGCAGCCGGGCGCGACCCCACGGCTTTCCGGCAACTGGCCGGAGGGTAGCGGCCCCGCCACCTCGCGCCCACCCAGCGTCACTCCGGGGCTCTCCCCCGCGCCCAGCATAGCCTCTGTCTGGCCAATGCAAAGCTTCCAGCTTCCTCCGAAGCCTCCCCAGGTAGTCAGCTACCACGGCCCCAACTCTTCCCCAGAAGCTGGTAGATCCCAGAGAGATTTAAGGGGTGGTGGTGGTGCGGGTGGTGCTGGTGCGGGTGGTGCTGGTGCGGGTGGTGTGCGTTCCACTATTTCCTTAGCCATGTACTCATAGTCGGGGGGGAGGGTGTGTGGGAAAAAGATGCTAATCCAAACACCAGGCCAGTCACAGATGGTGTGAGGATCGGGACGCATTTATGGGACGAGGTGAGGCTGACCGGTCACGTCCTCAGCTCCTCTGTGTTGCACATCCTCTGTCAGAGAAATCCAGAACTCGGGGTTGCCACCAGGGTAGTCTTCATTGCCGAGTCCCTGAGGTCCCAGGGATGAAGGTATTTGTGATCTCTGAGCACATAGAGGAGAGGTTGGGATGGGTGAAGATGAAAAACCCCACCCTCAAAGAGAGAAGGGTATTTAGAAGGTACTCCAAAGCCGAACCTAGAATTCATGCTTTAAAAGGATTTCTGGGAATTTAGACCTAGTGGCCATTGTGCAGTCCGGCCACCAGCCAGTGGGCTGGAAAGGTAGAATGAAAGTCCCAGATTTCCAACCTCTTTTCGCTCATTCATATTTTTGGACTAAAAGGCTTATTATGAGGCAACCCTTACAGGCCAAAAGCAGGACAAGCGAGTCATCCGGGCCCCTAGAATCATGTTGTTTCTGAAGCAAGCCCACGCTGATTGCTATAGTTCCCCAGTGCACCTGTCCCCCGGGTGCTTAGGGGGTCTGGCATTGAAACACCCTGCATGGTGGCACTCGGGCATTCCTAATCCAAGAGCACACTAACCAGTGGCACCCCCCAGTTTTCTTATTTTCCTATGTGTTCCTGGAAGCACTCTTTTCCCTTTTCCTCTCTTGGCCAGCTTTGCAGAGTTGATGGAGAGCAAGAGACAGAGGGAGGTGAAGTAGGAAATCACAGTTGGGTCTAAAATAACATGTGATTGAGAAAAAGTTTGCTTTGGAGAGATGTGCTCTCTGGGAATCTGAGCACTCATAAGCAGGAACGATGTTGTTAGATTTTAAATTTAGCTTTCCACTCTCCTAAGGAAATGCCTGTCCTCCTCAATCACTGAAGACGTGCAGTTTAGTTTTAATTATATCAAACTAAAGCTACATATTGCTGTCCATGAGGAAGCTGTCAGCACAAATTTGCAGGTTTGTTAAGGGAATTGCTTCTTGCAGCTGAGAGAAGCATGGTGCGGCAACGGAAAGCAAGTTAACAGATGGAAAACTTAAATTCTTATCTGGCTTGATGTTTCTGGAAATGTTTTGTTTGTGCAAAATATAGGTATGAGAATACAGGTCAGCACTACTAGTGCTAACTCTCTGCTCTGCTCCCATGAAATGCTCCCGGTCGTGGCTCTCACACTGACGTCACGAATGTCCTGGAAGGTTGAATTCTGAGACATCACTGTTCAGCGGCAGAATGGCTCTCTGTGGCAGTGTTGCCCCAGAAACTGTGAAATGTAGTTTAAGGATCACTCCAGAAAAACTAGCTCTCAGAAGTGCTCAACACTCTGTGTCTTAATGGAGATTTTCCTAAGTTGGGGTGATCTTCAAATTTTGAGTTAAGAAAATTCATTTATGTTTCAAGCCTGCTGTGGTAGTGGTATTTTTACGTGATTAAAAGGGACAAAAGCTTTTATTTATTTATTTATTTTACTTCGGGGCAAGGTTTTATTTTTTTCAAGGGTCTGCCTTTTGTCTAGGCTGAGATCTCTATTACTATGATGTGGAGACATAACAAATGATGGGAGAAGTGGAAGTGGGCAGAGCATCCGTGTCGCCATGGAGACGATTATTTGGTTGGTAGTAGCCAGCTCCAAAGTGAAATAGGACCCAGGCAGTGGGTTCCCTGGGATGTTAGAGATGGTGCACTTCCTTCCCTTAATGACCAGTCTCTGGATCTGGGGGTGGGAGTCTGAACACCACCCACCCACCAAATATGCAAATCTGTACGCTGTCACGAGGAACTATATTAAATCAATCACAGAATGGTGGATTACTTTATCTTCCCGTTTTACTAAAGTCCACCAAATTATTCAGGCATGATAAAAATGGAGTTCTTATTTGTAAAAACATCTCCATTGCCCCTCTGCTTCGTTGGCCATAGCACCTTCCTCATTTCTAGCATCCTAACTAGACGAGAGCAGAGAGGGGGGATAAGAGTGACCAAGGTCATTACTGGAGCATCAGGTTCTAATCCTGCTTTCCCATTATCATGATTCAATTTCCTCCATACAAATAAAGCCAAATGCTTCATTGCTTCCTGGGAAGCTGTGCCCCATAATCACTGTTATGACTAAAAGCCAGGTGATTTCATGGATATCTGGGTATCAACCCGACCAAGCAGATAATGGAGGAGCCAATCCTTCAAGATTCCAATCCTTCAGGTGGGACCGTGTCCTCAATCAGGTCTTGAAATTGTGTGACGTGTCATGTCATAAATGACAGGTACTCACACTGCAATGCAGTAAGACCTCACTTTAAGGCGCCCCAATACTCACAGAATTAATTTTTCTGAGTCACATAATGAGTCATGATACACTGATACATGCTCCCTATTCCTTTTGATCACATTAGAAAGCCCTTTGTAGACATTACCCTTATTTCCAGACCCCAGAGTGATTTCTACCTGCCTTATATTTTTAGGGAGTTCAAAGACACTTCCAAGCAGTATAATATAGTAGAGTCTTGTCTGTGAGCTGATTTTAATCCTAGAATCTTTGCTTATACGTGGGTTACCTTTGGCAAGTCGCATTTGCATCGAACCTATTGTGGAATAGATCAAATGAAATGTCCCGTAAAGACCCACGCCAACAATAAAGTCAGGGGGAGGGCTTCTCTGTTGGTGGACGGAGCTCTTGCCATTTTAAGTGGCTGAGGTCTGTTGAACCTTATTCCCATGAAGTTTGCCTTAAATACATCTAATGCCAGACGACATTGGAGCCACAGAGAGTTTTCCTTGTGAGCTTTAAATCAAAAGCATCATAGCTTTGGGGCGCCTGGGTGGCTCAGTCGGTTAAGCGTCTGCCTTCCGCTCAGGTCATGGTCCCAGGGTCCTGGGTTCAAGCCCCGCATCAGGCTCCTTGCTCTGCGGGAAGCCTGCTTCTCCTACCCGCCGCTCCCCCTTCTTATGCGCGCTCTCTCTCTGTGTGTCAAATAAATAAATCTTTTTTTTTTTTAAGCACCATAGTTTTACTAGTATTAGGATTTTAAAAGTACTACAAAATCCAATTGCAGAGAGATGGGATAAAAGCACTGAAGAAAGTAAGTAAGATAATGTGGGTATTCTTAGCAAGGGGCTAAGGTGTTAAGAATGCAGACCTTGAACTCCCTACCCACTTCTGACACCGTGGCTATCCCCACTTGCATACATGAATTTCTGCATTTTTAGTGGCCTGGCCTCCCACACAGCAACTTTTCTTCATTTATATGGCAAGTGCACATCGCTGGAGCCATGGGTAGGCTTTCACTGACCGTTTCGGACATCTAGGAGAAAATTCTGCATTTCTGTGACTGAGAAGCGTTGCTCAGAACTTGTGTTCACCTTGTTTTTCATTACATACTCAACAAATGAATTTCTAGGTGACAATTCCTAGATTCAGTCTCAGCTAAAATTCTAAGAAAGTTTAAATGAAAAATTCCATTGGTACATTTGTATTAGAGCCCAGAGGAAACCAACGTCTTTTTTAATCACACGAAGAAAAGCACCAAGACTCTTCTTTGCGGCAGCAATTTAGAAGCGACTGAGGAAGACGTTTAACCTCCATCATTCAGCTGGGAGTAGAATTGGTGGCAACATTGTAGATATGGAAGGTTCCTTAGGTTTCATCTAGTCCGACCTGTTCAATGTAGAGTTGAGAAAATTGAGGACTGGGGATGCTCAACACTTGGCAGAGGTCACCTAGCTGGTTAGTGGAGGTGCTGGGACCAAACCTAGGGGTCCTGAGCTGTGGTTGTAGGTTGTGTTCAGCTGGTTGCACATTCTGAACAGGGAGTCATTTATGAACTAACGTCTGATACGAAAATGCTGTTTATTCTGCACTTCGGAGGAAGCAGGGCAAACTTAATTGGTGTCCTTTGCAATTTCTTGTTTTTTCCTTCCCCTGGGTTTATTGGTGGTAGTCTGTTTTTGGTTTTGTTTTCACAGGGCACTTAATGGGGAAAAAGAGCACAGGAGAGTCCCCATATGTTTATGAGGGAGCGAGCCTGATGCAGCAGCTGCAAGAGTACATGCGGTGGGAAGAAGCTGCAAGGAATTTGCTAAGTCTCCTAGAAGCAAAGGGGACCAGAAGCCATCAGTCACCTCCCCCGTCTGCTTGGGATTACCAGGATGACAGCAACTTTAAAATCCTAGGTTCAAAACCTAAAGGTATAACGTACCAGGTGGGAGAGGGCGAGGGGGTGGGGTGGGGTGGGGGGTGGAGGTGTTTGGGGAGAGTTGGAAGGAGGTTAGGTTTGAGCAGAGAAGAATAAAATTGTTTACGGTGCAAGCCTTCAGAACCACTTAATTAAGCTGACACCAATACATGCTGAGAAATGAGTAGACACTTCCCGTAATTTTCTTTCGACATAACAGATGATTTTTCCTCTTAACAAGTCGAAGGGGTATTGGTTCCAAACTCCAGTTTAGGAGTATAATCAGTAGTCATGCTGATTAGTGATTGTGCATTGATGGGATTTTTTTTAATCCAACAGGCCCTCCCAGAATATTTTGAAAGGGAGGCCAAAGATTATTTGAGTCAATCCCTATGTTTATTTGTTTTAATTTTTATTTAAATTTTAGTTAGTTAACACACAGTGCCATATTGCTTTCAGGAGTAGAACTCAGTAATTCATCACTTACATACAACACCAGCACTCACAACAAATGCCCTCCTTAATCCCCATCCCCCATCTAGCCCCTCCCCCACCCATCTCCCTCCAGCAACCCTCAGTTTGTTCTCTATCATTAAGAGTCTCTTATGGTTTGTTTCTCTCTTTTTTCCTCCCTTCCCATGTGTTTATCTGTTTTGTTTCTTAAATTCCACATATGTGTGAAATCATATGGTATTTGTCTTTCTCTGACTGGTTTATTTCACTTAGCATAATACACTCTAGCTCCAACCACGTTGTTGGAAATGGCAAGACTTCATTCTTTTTGATGGCCGAGTAATATCCCACTGTATATATACACCACATCTTCTTTATCCATTCATCAGCTGATGGACATTTGGGCTCTTTCCATAGTTGGCCATTGTTGATAATGTTGCTATAAACATCGTGGTGCATGTGTCCCTTCAAATCTATATTTTTGTATCCTTTGAGTAAATACCTAGAACTGCAATTGCTGGATTGTAGGGTAGCTCTATTTCTAACTTTTTGAGGAATCTCCATACAGTTTTCTGGAGTGGTTACACCAGTTTGCATTCCCACCAACAGTGCAAGAGGGTTCCCCTTTCTCCATATCCTTACCAATACCTGCTGTTTCTTGTGTTGTTAATTTTAGCCATTCTGACAGGTGTGAAGTGATATCTCATCGTGGTTTTGATTTGTGTTTCCCTGATGATGAGTGATGTTGAGCATCTTTTCATGTGTCTGTCAGCCATCTGGATGTCTTCTTTGGAAAAGTATCTATTCATGTCTTCTGCCCATTTCTTAACTGGATTATTTGTTTTTGGGTGTTGAGTTTGATAAATTCTTTATAGATTTTGGATACTAGCCCTTTATCAGATATGCCATTTGCAAATATCTTCTCCCATTCGTAGCCTGCCTTTCAGTTGTGTTGATTGTTTCCTTCACTGTGCAGAAGCTTTTTATCTGAAGTCCCAATAGTTCATTTATGCTTTTGTTTCCCTTGCCTCCGGCAACATGCTCTACATTTGTTTTTGATGAGTACTAGTGGAAGGGATTGTTCACATATGCTTTTAGAAGAGAGGACTCTGAGGACACCTGGATGGCTCAGTTGGTTAAGTGTCTGCCTTCGGCTCAGGTCATGATCCCAGGGTCCTGGGAGCAGGCTCCCTGCTCAGCTGGGAGCCTGCTTCTCCTTCTCCCTCTGCTGCTCCCCCTGCTTGTGCTCTCTCTCTCTCCGTCAAATAAATAAATAAAATATTTAAAAAAAGAGAGAGAGAGCACTCAGTTTGCTACCTTTTATGCAAAAGAGCACTTCTTTATATTTCTTCTGAGATTACCTAGTTTGGGTCTCACACTAGTATTTTGAAACTTGGTGAACATATCTAATCAACTGATTTGTCCTGTATATGGTCTTGTAGAAGAGAGGGAGAAAGAATTATACCAAACTGGCATTGCTTAGATAAAAAGACAGTAAATGGGATGAAAGAGAGAATAAAATTTATAGGAGGAAAGCAAGGCAACTGAAAATGAAGTGATTCTCATTAACCTTTAAGAAGTTTCCATGAAATTTGTATAAAAAGCAAAAATAATAATCACAACTCTAGTAATACTAAGGATAGCTACTTCTATTGAGTGATTACCATAATCCAAGTCCTGGGCAAAGCAGTTTGCCTCCACTCTGTTCATGCTCACAGCAGTCTTAGGAGGAAGATTCAAGAACATTTTATTCCTCTCTCTCACATAGCTTTTCACTGGTGAGAGCAAGGGCAGGAGCCCACGCAGGCTCCGTGGACATGTGAAGTGTCTGCTGGGCAACGGTGGGTCCTCATGGATCTTAAATATGAAGGATGCAGGATCCAGTAGTGGCCTTGCTTCTCACTGTTTCTGACAATAATAATAATAATAATAATGTTTCACTTGCAGAGCTTGAGGAACTGTCGCCTTCACTCCTTCATGGTGATTAACTCTTTGATTGATGGCCCCTTTGCAGAGGTTCAGGGCTGGCTTTCCCAAGCCTCAGCCGGCTTCTCTGGAGGGAGGCTCTATGTTTCACTGCACTTTGGTCTACTGTGGATTCTCGATGCTAAACACAAACGGAAAGTTCATTTGTTGCATTAAGCACCTAAGGAGAAAATCTCTAGTAGCCTTTATTCAGAAAGAAAATCTGGATTAAACCCACCAATACAGAAATAAGTAGCAACTTTGTACAAAGCTCCGAGTGATCTCTTGCCCCCACCTGTATTATTGGGGTCAGCTCCCTTCTTTGTGGGTGGGTTACAGGGCTCTGAGGGCTCCGGGAATTTGGGATGGACTTCTCAGGCCCTGGCTGAGGTCTTTTCTTTGTCAGGTGACTTGATGGACTTTCTGGGGGTAGATGTCCAAGAGCAGCACCTTCTTTGTCTGAGGAGTAATGATGATCACCAGCACAAAACCCCCAAAAGCAATTTTACAAACACTGAAATGGACTTACACTCCCAGCTCATTTCCTTTTTGAGTGAAACCCCAATATCCACTTTGAGTTGCTTTATTCTCTCAACTCTGGCTCTGCATAACTTTGGAATGTTTTGTTTTGTTTTGTTTTTAATTCAGCTCCTGCGGCGCCTGGGTGGCTCAGTTGGTTAAGCGGCTGACTCTTGATTTTGGCTCAGGTCATGATCTCAGGGTCCTAGGATCGAGCTCCCCATCGAGCTCCCCATCGGGCTCTGTGCTCAGTGGGGATTATGCTTGAGATTCTCTCTCCCTCTGCTTCTCTCTCTCTCTCTCTCTCAAATAAATAAATAAATAATTTATTTATTTATTTATTTGAAAGAAAGTGAGCGAGAGAGCAGGATTCTGGGATCATGACCCGAGCTGAAGGCAGATGCTTAACCGACTGAGCCACCCAGGTGCCCCTAAATCTTGTTAAAAAAAATAAAAATTCAGCTCCTTCCTTAAAAATCAGTTTTCCTGTCATATTCAGAAGAATATTCTGTAAGCTGCGAAGCCAATTATGAAATAGCTCCAAAAAGATCTCTGAGTGGTTTAGTGTGGGGTGGCCTGAGTGGGCAGTCACAGAGAGTGTTTCAAGGGGACAATATTTATCAGTATTCATGTGACACAGGAGAAACTAAGTCATCTTTTTATAATCAGGCCTCAATTTTCTACTACTTTTTATGTTTTGTTTTTCTTCTTTTTATAAGTTTAGGAGGCCCATCCCATTTCATTCCACCTTTTTTTTTTAGAGTTTATTTATTTGAGAGAGTTCGCATAAGGGGGGGAAGGGCAGAGCAAGACTGGGAAGGAGCCTCCCCGCTGAGCACAGAGCCTGTTGTGGGGCTCAATCCCATGACCCCGAGATCATGACTGGAGCCAAAACCAAGAGTTGGACGCCCAACTGACTGAGTCACCCAGGTGCCCTGCATTTCGTTCCACCTTAAGTTGAATAATGAACTATTGTACACATTGGTACCATTCTTTTGGATATATTTCTCAGTGATATGAAAAAATTCAACAGTTAGTGTAGTTGTTGCATAGACCAAAAGAGTTTATCACTCTTCCTGCTTTGGAAATTCCGTCTTAGTGAAAGAATGTTGATATGCAAATTGAAAACATCTTACAATTTTCTTATTCACAAGAGGGAGTACCAAGAGAATGGTTCTATTAGAAATCCATAACGCTCAGCGTTAGAAAGAAGTTTAATAACTTAGCCGAGCATTGCCAGAAGTAGCAGGAGGAATTTTCAAAGGCTGAAGGACTTTTCTTAACATTAAAAACTATCCACATATGCTCTCCTCTCCCATTTTAGTAATAAAACATGAAGTCCTGTTGCCAAATCTTCCAGAGCTGTAGTCAGAAACTCTGAGCATCTTCCTATGTTTTGGTGGCAGAGATATTTACTTAATTCAGGAAAGACTTGTATAAATGTGCACTGAATCTAGACTACTGTGTCGTGGCAAATGAGCTCTGGAACATTATTAGCAATTATGGCCAATCATTTTCAAGGTTAACCTTCATCTTTTAACTGTACCCTTATCACAAAAAATTAATGGAACTTTTACCCAATGGTTTCTATCACATGAAACAGTGTTCAAGTCAGCCCCGTGGCCTAATCCGTAATTCTAGATGCGGCTGTGGATTGTCTTGAGTTTCAATGAAAGTTGAAGTTGGCCTTCGGGTTCCTTTTGTAATTTGGACCTAGACCATGGTTCCTTACAGCCTTTGTTTTTTTCTTATTTGGTGGACAGGAAGAAAGGGGCCCAGGGAGTGCACTGGAGAGGCTGTTATGGAAAGGAAGTAAATGTACGAGTTTGCCCTCACTTTTAAGGGATGGCTCCCACTGTCCCATCAAATCAGCACAGAGAATAGAAAGGTTGTATTTCTTAATATGTGAAACGCTCCAAAGGAAGTTCCAAGTATAGGAAAAGCACCAACATGTACTTGAGAATAACTAAAAATTCCCTGATTACCTTGACAGTTGCTGTGAAGGAGCAGAGTGAAGTCACCCCCACCTCAAATATGGCCCCGCCCTAATAATGGACCCCGCCCTCCTGCCTCCGGTCCCTGATCTTCTTAGGTTACCAACTCCTCTTGTCATGGTAGCTGCACCTCCATTCCCTTGAGCCAAACAGCTCAGATTCAATATTTTGAGCCAATGTGGGGGCTTCATGGATCCTCGCCCACCTCCTCTGCCGGCCCCTTTTATAACCAGTGGCTCATATTGCAAGATGGATGGAAGCATCTTCAGGCAGGCTGGTGACCCTTAATAGTGCAGCCCTGGGCACATGGAGAAAAGCAAAACTAATTGGTCTGTGTGGGAATTGAACCCCAGACCCTGGCCTCGTTAGCACCTGGTCAAAATAGTTGAGCCACAGAGCAGATAATAACTGGCCTGAGACTATCAGTAGTTCCTTTATTAGAAACAAATGGCGGGTCTGGCCGCTGGGGAACCTGAACGGCCAGAGAATCTTGGAAGGCGTAATAAGCTCGAGTCTGGTTGAAGGGCATTTTCTCATCTCAGCATATAAAGGGTGCTGTATGGGAACAAAGACGTATTTTAACATTACAACTACTCATTCTTTCTTCAGTCTGAATTTGAACAGAAGCCACAATGAGCAAACCACAATAAATTTAGAATTGGCAGAAATCCAAATTAGCTCCTGTTCCCAAGTTGCACAGCACCACCCCTTGCAGTCATGGCTTCGTAATGTGCAGTCATGTGTTTCATAAACTGGCTTTGATTTGTGCAATGAGGCATTGCCAAAGTAAGAATTAAGATTCCATATTCGCTAATAGTCCTCCTACGCCGCTGACACTTTAGTAACAAATTCCTGGCGATCATACATTTAATTTCCAACTTTGGTCAAAATAGACCTGAATAGTCATATCAGGATACAAGGTAGGCTAATAGAACAGAAAGAGGCAAACATATAGTGGCTCCAGAAAGAGGAAGTCAGTTTCTCTCTCTCTCTCTCTCTCTCTCTCAATCTCTCTCGGGGGGACAGCTGTGGTTCTCCGGCATGGACATGCTCAGAATCTCCTGGAGGATTTCTGAAAGCCCAGATCGCTGGGCTCCACCCCCAGAGTTTCCAATTCACTAGGTCTGGGGCAGACCTAGGAATTTGCTTTTCTAACAAGCTCCCAAGTGATGCTGATGGTTTGTTGGGAATGTATTTGCCTCTAGCAGTAGACCTCAGGATCGCTAACTATGTTTGCTTTTGTCTTTTTAATATTTTTTAAGTTGGTGGACTCTCTGCTCCAGGTTCTCAACGAGAGGGAAGGAACCCCCAGCTGAACTAACCAGGACAACAGGCCTCTCTCAATGAAGCAAAGCAAAACCCTTAAGAGACTATGTTCTACCGGCATCAATTCTACTGGATCATCAACAGATTTCCTTTGTGCAAAACACTTAACTATTCTTGTATCTTTCAACCTTAACTAAATTCATGATTTTCAAGCAGCATCTTCTGTTTTGAATTTGTTTGCTGTGAATAACTGTCCATAAGGAGTCTTCCAATTAATGCTCTTTACATCTAAGCTATTTGTCAATTACATTCTAGTCCCCACCCTGTTACCATTCACAATAAAAAAACTTAAGCGCATTGCCCAAAGGGCAGGTAGTTCTCTTATTTCAATTCCAAGTGAAAGGATGTGGCAGAGATTAACAAACAGCTTGATAATGAGCTTGTGTGCTCACTGGTGAAGGCAGACTGGATTTTTAACTCTCCCTTCTGAAGGCCACTTACTGAATCCTTGTAGTGACTTAACAACTTTCTAGAGCCTTCAACTAGAAGCTCATATTCCCTTATCCTTACCATTGCATGGGCCAGGCTGAAGGTGGAGGCTTAATCTTCACTTAATAATTCCCATTTCTTTAGCCCTTACCATAGGTATTTTGCTAATGTTATCAATAACAGTTTTATAAGCTGAGAATGAGTCTTCTCACTTAATAGATGAGGAAACAGCATTAGAGAGGTCAAGTGACTTGGCCAAGGTCATATAGTAGATGGAACTGGGATTCAGACAACCAACGTCACGAGATGTTCTGTAGCATTTAATGTTGTCCACATTACCTTGTTTTTAACCTCCCTTTCAGTATATTTAAGCCTAGCAAGTAGTGCTCTTTCTTCAAAATCTCATTGCCAATCTGGGAGGAAAGTGGCCCCCACAGGCAGATTTAGTCAGCTCCACAACAAAAGGAGAAACTGAATTCGAGAGATTCCCTTCCATTTCCAGAGAACGTGGCCTGGTGGTTGGTATCACTCACCGGTTCCAAATTTATCATGACATTCACACATGAACAGATTTTAAAGCTTCTTGCCATATGTTTAGATTTCCTTCATTTGGGGAAATCACATTTGAAACAGTAAAGAGATTTATCTTGCTCTTGTTTTGATTGTCAAAGAACCACGAAGATGTGATGTTTTCTTTCTAATTTCTTTTAAAACCGCGTTGACTCACAACTTACACAGAGCCAGCCCTGGGGAGAAACACGAAATGTGTCGTCAGTGTCCTACCACTGTCTTCTTCCCGGGGCCCTCCTGGTATCTTTCCCAAGAACTTGATCCTGAGCTGTGTCAGCTGAAGTCAGCCAGGCAGCTAAGGATCGAGGGGTAAGCCCTATCACCAGGGTTCGCCCTCGGAAGGGACACTCGTGAAGATGAAAACAGTCTTCCCGACCCAGGGGAAACTTTCTCAAATGGTGTCACTTCAGGCAGGGAGAGAAAGGCAATACTCTTAGAACCACCCCGCTTAGACTGTCACTTCTTTGCTTATTGCTTATGTCATAAGAGTAGATGTGATCCTGTGTTTTCGCTGCAATTATTTTTCCTCTGTGTGTTCTGAGAGACAAGAACAGCTCCCTCAAGTCTCCTGAGCTTCTCAGGGCTCCTCTGTACCAAGGACAAGTCAGCATTAGAATCCGTTTATTGAAGAGATACACTGTTCCCTACTTCTATAGAAGGGCTTTCTCGAACCCTCCTTTGCAAGTGCAGGCTTATCGCATATCAAAGTGTGTGCCGCTTGGGTAGGGCAATTTTTAGCTGCAAAGAACAGCATCCTCCTTGGCTGGTTTTAGTAGGAAAGGAAAGTTTATGAGGAGATGGTAGGCAGGGAAGGCCAGAGAAACGGGCCCGAGGCACACTAGCACGTTCAGTGATCAAAGCCACGCCCCTGATCGGGTTGATGAGGTGGTGAGCGCAGGCCCTGCTCTCCCTAAAGCATTCCGCAGAACTGCCAGAATGAACCTGGCACTCGCATCTCCTGCTTCTGCCACCCCGTGTGCCTGAAGTGGTGTGTCCCTCCTCCCCAAAGCTTCTTCAGCCTTGGCTTACTTCCAAATCCGAGTTTTGAATGTCTGTGTCTGATTGGTGGAACCTAGATCACATGTCTGCATCTAGCCTCAAGGGAAATTGGGAAACGTAGTTTTAAGGATTCTATTTTTGGGCCTACGGGACTTAAACTGTGGGACCTTATTAAAAAAAAAGAAAGAAAAAAAAGGAGGGCGTCTGGGTGGCTCAGTTGGTTAAGCGACTGCCTTCGGCTCAGGTCATGATCCTGGAGTCCCAGGATCGAGTCCCGCATCCGGCTCCCTGCTCAACGGGGAGTCTGCTTCTCCCTCTGACCCTCTTCCCTCTCGTGCTCTCTATCTCTCATTCTCTCTCTCTGTCAAATAAATAAATAAAATCTTTAAAAAAAAAAGGAGCTGGTGTTCAAATAATATGGTCAGAGACAGATAACATGTCCCTTTCTCTTTTTTTCTCAAAAAAAAAAAAAAAAAAAGAATTTCCTCTTTGATCTCTACCCATTCCTCTTCTAGAGGCTACTTAACATCCAGCCAGGGATTCTGGGAAAGCAGGAGCCTGGTGGCTGTTTTCCACAGCACGCAGGCCAGATGTGTGTGCACAGAGCAAGAAGAGAGATTGCTTTTAAGAGGTGACAGTATTCAGAAGTCCTTGCAGCAAAGCAGGATAACCAGTAGGAAGAATCCAGAAGGGAAGAAAGCAATAATCTTCAAATTTGTTCTTTTACAAACAGTCTCTCTCTCTTTTTTCTTTTTTTAAGTGCTACAGGGTGGATTGCTCAGGGTAATTTGGCAATCTGTGCTTATGATCAGAGGTTCAGTAACACACGAAGCAGGCATTTCAGGCAGAGCAGTACAATTTCTCTAGCCCCACAATGCCCACCTTTCAGTTCCTACTGGGGACATTTGATCATCACAAAGCATTTTAACCCAGCTCAGATGCGAAGGGAGTAATCCAAGTAAATTGTGGGATTTACATTATTCATTTCCTCAGCCACAGGCTGCTTCAATCAGACACTGTGAAATAGCTCTTCCAGGGAAACCCTCAGTGATGAACTATTACCATTTCCAAAGCAGCAAGACCGTAGCCATCACGTGCACTGAAAGGCCTCCTAGCTTCGCCTCTTGGGGCTCTGTGTTTTCCGATTAATCACTTCCTTAATTAGACCCAGATAAAACACAGAAACATCTCTCTGTTTCCCCTCTGGTTTTCCTTCCATTGTCCCCGGCCCACAGAAGTTATAGAACTTATCACCTGACTGACCACAGAGGTGGCTTTAACCATGGTTGGACTGAGTCTCCAAGGAGAGAATGAGAATGTTCTTGGTCCTTCCACTCGGCCGCTGTAATCATGCCCTGCTCGTGCCCCACTTCTTCACCACAGAAGATTCTGGTGGCGCTCCCCTAGCTCTGTCTCCAGAGAACCCCCCCCCCCGGGGGTGACCTCTCCTCTCTGGAGAAGGCTGGGCTCTCCTTCTTTGGAGGAACAGATGCCACCCTTCCACACTTTGGCCAGTGCCGTGATGTGAGGGCACAAAACACAGACTCCCTGCTCTTTGAAATCTTCCACCTTTGTCTTTTGGTCAGAATGGGCTGCCACCTGCCCTTCCCCCACCCCCTAAGAGCCGCATTTCTTTTACTATTAATAAGGAAAAGAAGGGGATGGATGTTGGGTAGCCATGTTGGCTATTACAAGATTGAATCCCGGGAAGGGACCACGCTGGAAATAGTGGGTCTTGACACTGACATGACTGGAAGACTCCTAGACAACAGGTCACCGGGTTTAATATGGAGGTGCCCTGCCCTGTGTCTCTCCTGAACATTAAGTGCCAGAAAACCATTGTTTCCAGACCGTATGCTTTCTCTGTGGCCCCACCCATCCTTCATCTTTGAAAACAAGGGACTGCAATAAACACCATGTTTTGTTGATTGGATGTCATCTTTATTGCTAAAAGTAAACACAAGATGTGATACTTTCCAAACACCCATTGGCATAGGAGAGCCCCCTTTGTGCTGTTCTCACAGCTGTCTTTATATATGGATGCGTGCATTTATGTGGATGTGTGGGAGTTATATTTGCACTCTTCCGCCCACATTCCTTCAGGAACAGAGGGACCTGGTAAACAAACTGGAAGAAAGGAAACTACAGCCTTGCTTTTGTCTGTTTGGTTTTTTTTTTTTTTTCAGCTTTACAGAGGTATAATTGACAAATAAAAATTGTGTATATTTAAGGTGTACACTATGATATTTTGATATACACATGCCTTGTGAAATGCTTACCACAATCAAGCTAGTTAATAAATCCATCACTTTGCATGTTACCTTTTCTTTCTTTTTTTTTTTCATGCAAAGAGTTAAGATCTCCTCTTAGCAAATTTCAAGTATACAATACAGTATTGTTAACTATAGTCACCATGCTTAGATCCCCAGAATTTGTTCATCCTGCATAACTGAAACTTGGTGCCCTTTGACCAATATTTCCCACCCCTGACACCCACCATTCTACTCTGCTTCTTTAGAGTTCAACTTTTTCTTCTTCTTCTTTTTTTAAAGACTTTATTTATTTATTTGATAGAGAGAGAGAGAGCACAAGCAGGGCGAGCAGCAGAGAGAGAGGGAGAAGCAGGCTCACCACTGAGCAGGGAGCCCGATGTGGGGCTCGATCTTAGGGCCCTGGGATCATGACCTGAGCAGAAGGCAGATGCTTAACCGACTGAGCCACCCAGGCACCCATAGAGTTCAACTTTTTAAGATTCTACTCATAAGTGACACCATGCGGTTTTTGTCTCTCTGTGTCTGGCTTATTTCACTTAGCACACAGACCTCCAGTTTCATCCATGTCATCACCAAGGACAGGGTTTCCTTCTTTCTAAATCTGAGTCATATTGGGGCACCTGGGTGGCTCAGTCAGTTAAGTGTCTGCCTTCAGCTCACGTCATGATCCCTGGGTCCTGGGATTGAACCCCTTGAAAGGCTTCCTGCTCAGTGGGGATTCTGC